AAAAGAAGACCAGAACGTAGTTGGCAGCACTCGAGCACGGTGTTGGAAGGATGGGCCGGGCATCTGAGTGCATCTAGATACCTCCAGATAGAATCTTGCGTTAAACATAGAGCAAAGACAAAGGGGTCGATTTATATCGTCAAATATCGTCACAGTCTTCAATTGCGGCTGCAGTAATGACAGTACTTGACTACTCGGTGGAAGCTGCGGCGAGGACGGTGAGAGAGCGATGTGATGGATGGCTGCTGGGCGCTTAGCACCCTGCAACAATGCATGTAGGTGCAGCAAGGTGGGCATTTGGCGCCCGTCGAGCAACTCCAGACGAAATGGAGAAGGGACGTGGATTCCTGCTCGTCATGCATGCGTTTACTTGTATCGGGCATGCATGGGCTGCTTACGCGGTGATGGAGATGCCGATTGGGGTGGGATGTGTTCATGGCAAGGTTTAAGCCAACAGTCGCAGGCACATGATGGCAGACGGTGTTTATGCGATGACGAGGCATGACTTGTTGGACGACTCAGCCTGGGAGATGGTCTGGTTCGCGGCGCAAACACGTAGCTGCGAGCACTTGAACATTGGTGGTCGGGGATGAGAGCCGTGGAGAGAAGAAGTCAAGTGCTTTGGGCGTCGACGCTGCAGCCTGAACAAAGCTTAAGCTCCCAACCTCGAGCCCCAACTCAACTTCGCTCCACGCGGGTGCTCGTTGGAAACCAGAGGCGTATGTTGCTGTCGTGACAGACATTTGGGAGGGTTGACGAGCTGGTCGTGGTCCTCTATTGTATGTACAGTGGGGTGCCATGTAGTATGTTTGGGAAATGTCAATCAAGCTGGACGCCACTCCCAGTTTTTTGAAAGCTGGCCGTCTTGTGAATGGACCAAGGAGAAAGGATGGCACCGGGCGAGACGGGACCCTGAGAAGCCCGCTCCATAGCAGCGGCTATACCCTTGGGTGGTGGTCTGGGCCTTGTGCCTTGTAACTGGCCAACAGCTCAAGTGCCCAGACTGAACAAGGTGAACATTGGGACGGGCGGCCCAGTGGACTGATGTGACGCCTCGAGTGCTTCACGCATTGAACTTTGACATACGTGCTGCTCCTCCTCCTGCTCCTGCTCCTGCTCCTGCTCCTGCTCGATGCATTTTTGCCGCTCGGCCATGTCGATTCTCCTCCACCACCTCGCATGACCGTTTTCTCAACCTTCCTTCAATACCTTCTTCCTTTTGCATCTTCTGCAGCATCTATTATTATCCATATTTCTCGTCTGCCGTTTCCAAAGGCAGCCTCCCCCACGCCCGGAATTCAGAGCTAGAAGCACACCGCATCCTCATGGGCACCCAGTCCCGCATCTTAGTCCCGCATCCAGCTACTTACCAGATTGCCAGCCCTCACACTCTGAGTGAAGTCATCGGTGCCTGAACCTGACGAAATCCACCAGACCCGACCAGATATTTTTCACTTTGTTTCCTACTTCATTGGCAGAACAGCGAAACATCGACTGCAAACGAATCATCAACCCAAACCTCAGATTCAGCAAGCTCGGACATCAATTTGTCGCCCACTGCTGTCGCCACCCAGCCGCCTGGCCACTTCGGCCTCAATGCTGAAGCATGCCTGCAAAGGACCGTGACGCCGACGCCGACTCTGTCGCCGACGAAGGCCATCGCGACAAGACCCGACGCTCCAAATCGGAACGGAGTAAAACAGATCGCGACAAGGACAAGGACAGGGACCGTGAACGCCGTCACCGATCTTCCAAGTCCTCGGCTTCGCGCAGTAAGCTTGGCACAGATGGCAGTGAGGCCTCCACCAGGCGACATCGCAAGAAGGATCGAGACAGAGATCGCGACAGAGACAAGGACAGAGACAAAGACGGGGATGAGCCCCGCGAGAGAAATGGCTCTACCAGCGACATAACCGCAGATGCGATCAACATATCCCTCGACAGGCCACGCATCTCTATGCCTTACCCAAGCTTCAGCAAGGCCCACAGTAAAGAAGCTGTCATGAGCCGCGACGACTTGGGTGAGCCGAGAAAGTCGCACCTCTCAAACCCCCCAACCCCTGAACCTACCGATGTTGGCGACGAGGAACGGAGATCAAGGTCTGCTGAACTGCACAGAGCAGCATCAACCTCCAAAAGGGGCTCCAGACCGCCTACCCCACCCGAGACCGATGTCTCTGCAGATAGGAGGAAGAGCGGCGGTGATATCAAGGGTTCTGACGGTGGTCGCCCCAAATCCACAGTTTCCGGCATCTCCAGATCCGCATCCCATAACGACGATCGGTCCAAACTGAGCAGAAAATCTGCTTCGTCCAGTCAAGCTACCTACATCAAATCGCGCGAGCACAAATCACACGACAGGGTTCGTTCATCGGGCTCTGTCAGGTCAAGTTCATCGCGGCATTCTATGAGAAGATCTGACTCTACCAGGTCCAGCTCCAAGAGGGTCGAGTCTCGAGACGATGGATCCTCGCCGTCAAGCGTCCAAGATTCCTCCCCACGAACACCAACCCAGACGGCGAGATTTCCCTCCCACTTGTATGACGGCGGCAAGGACCCATCTCCACCCGACTTTGAAGACAATGAATCAGCTTTCCCGTCCAAGACGGCGACCCCAGCTTCCATGGCCGGGCCACCGCCTCCACCTCCTCCACCTCCGCCGCCCCCAGCAATCGATATTCACGACATTCCTCGAGTCGACTACCTGCTGCAAAATGGTGGTCTGCCTTATCCCGTCCCTCGACACTTTTTATCAGTCCTGCCTCTTCAGAATGCATCTCGAACATCGAACCCCCCGTTGACTGGATCGGACACATTGTTTGCGCCATTCCTTAACCTACTTGATCAATATTCCAACGTTTTGGCGAAGCAGGGCTCTATTGCAGTTGCGACTGGCCATCGGTCCGTTGCCCGACGTTTGTTGGACAGGCTGGAAAATGTTTTCTCACGGGACTTGCCGCCTCACGGCTGCGCATGTGTCATGTGCGATCGATCTCATGAAATACACAAGGGTCTGACGTGGGGTGACGTGCTGGAATGGGTCAGTGGGCGTATTGAACTTCCAGACTGGCCGCCGTTTGATCTTGCTGAGATTGGGACCAAAGCCGCTGAAATCTCGGCAGAAGTGCCACCGCGACCTGCATCTCCCGTGAAAATGGACCCGGATATCGCAGAAGAATTCAGAGAACATTATCTTCGACAGTCGAAGAAGGTCAGGTCGGCTGTAGATAAGTGGTTGAACAACACGGGTGAAACTCCAGCACCACCCCCCCAAGATGTGGACGATGAGACTCTCACATTTGCGATTCTGACAAATATGGACGCTGATGATCGGCCATTCTTCAATGCTCTGCTGTCTGGATCCCGAGAATTAAAGTCGTCGACTAGGGCTCCTACACCAGTTCATAGGCCACGGAATGACTTCATCGTCAAGTCTGGCTTGTCCCTCCAACGCCTGTATCGCCTACAGCAGGTCCCTCGAGATGCCGAAACGGCCAGCTACCTTGTCAAGAACCCACATACTCACGATTTGCTCGTCACTATTTCAAATATTAATAACGCCGAGTGGGAGATTTTGACCTCTGGCCGATTTGACGGCTTCCTTTGGTCAGGAGCGGATGCAGACGACATGTATCCAGGTGTTGAATCCCGTGCTGAGACGCCTGCAAGCGGCTACTTTGGCTCCCGCTCTTCAATGAGTCCGGTGCCTAGAGGACCATCGGCCATGGGATCCAGGACTACAACCCCGTTCTCGCCCTACTCTCGAGGCGCGACGCCTGCATCCTTTGTTAGCTTGGCATCGTCAGGCGTCCAGGGAAGTAGCAGACAGCCTGTATCAAATGATGAGGAAATGGAAATGGCAGCCATTGCTGAAATAGAACGGGAGATTTACGCAGGCATGGAAAGCTTAGAAGACGCGTTTGAGAAACTGCACCAAAAGGCGGAAATGGTACGAACGGCCTTGCGGCAGCGAGGAGCCGCTCTCATGCAGAACTTGCAGAGTCGTCGTCGCATCGATGTGCTGCCCACCCCCGGATCCGGCAATTCTCAGCACTCGGGATACGAACGGCCAGCCTGGGCTGTCGGCAGTGATGTCGAAGGAGCAAGTGACGATGATTGGGCCATGGACGACATTGACATCATGCCGGATGACTCTGCCAGCAATATCAGCAGCTCAAGACATCGACGACCCAAGAGACGCACCGAGCGTCGCACGCCGGCACCAATTGAAGAGGACGAGGAAGAATGATAATCCCACATATAACTTCATCCATCCAAGTGGTCGGATTTTGACGCTCACTTTTTTCGTTTGTTCCTAATTTTTCGAATATGATGGCATTAGTACATAACACCAAGTAATGGATGTTGCGGATGGCAATGTTTTACAGTTGTCGGATACCAGATTTTGTTTTTCTTGTTTTGAGAACATACCAACGGGAAATGATGGATGATGTGTTGTTCAAGTCTGCATGAGGAATAGTCGCTATTCTGTGTGTTCTGAGGATGGACGAGCATGGATATCAAATACTACAGAGAAACTGCTGCATTTGCCAGATTGGTGGAATTCTGAACTCGGTAGATTAGTATAGGAGGTCGATCTTCCGCATAGGGTGCATGGTTTTGGCGTTGACAGCATAATGATATATTTTGTTTCGACCCCAGAGATCTTTTTGAGTGCACCAGTCAGCCAGGCGTCATTGGGCTCCCCATTTGGATGATTGGCGCCGACGACGAGTCTCCGAATCGAAGGAAGATTGCGAATGAACCATCTCTAGTATAGACTGCAACCTACTGCGCCAAAATGACACGAGAATGGCGGGGTATAGTTGCATCACATCACCAATGTGACAGGCTAGGGAGAGAGACGGGAAGTGTCGCCGAAAGGAGAATCTACAACAGGACAATCATGCCACCATCCGCCTTGGCCGGATATATAAGACGGGTTCCTGGAGTCGTGCGACCCGCACGACTTTCAATGATAACATCGTACTCCGTACAACATGTCACAACCTACGCAGCCAGGGCCCCTGTTGGACCTCACTACAGAAAACATTACGCCTAATGCGGTGCGAATCCATACGCAGAGCGGGAACGCGCGTATTGACTACCTCATGTTGAGGCTGACTACGCACCTGCACGACTTTGCCAGGGAGACGAGGTTGAGCACGACGGAGTGGATGGCGGCGTTGGATTTTCTGGTGAGGTGCGGGCAGATTAGTAGCGATGTGAGGCATGTAAGTCTCACACTTTTCACCTGGCTCGGTTTCAAAATAGATGGCATTTGTGAATTTTTTTTGTTTTCCTTTTCTCTCTTCTTTAATTCTTTGTCATGTCGTGAAAAGGATGGGCTGTGCTGACTATGGTAGGAATTCATCCTCCTGTCCGACGTACTTGGCTTGTCGTTGCTGGTTGACTCTATCAACCATCCTAAACCGCCTGCTTCAACAGAGGGATCTAACCTCGGACCTTTCCACACCCACGACGCGCCAACCATCGACTCTGGCAGCTCCATGTCATCTGATCCAAATGGCGAGCCCCTCCTTGTGCTTTGTACCGTTAGCGATACAGCCGGGAATCCTGTATCCAATGTCAAAGTGGACATTTGGGAGACTGATTCATCGGGTCACTATGATGTGCAACGCGACCACCGGGAGGGTCCCACAGAGAGGTGCATCATTCGGAGCGACGCCAAGGGCAAATTTTGGCTCAAGGCAGTCAGGCCCGTGAGTTATGCCATACCCGATGACGGGCCGGTTGGGCGGTTGCTGAAGCTGCTGAAACGGCATTGTTGGCGGCCGGCGCATATGCACTTTATGTTTGAGAAGGAGGGCTGGGATCATTTGACCACGTAAGTATTTCGACCTGCAACTGCCAGGACGGCCGACGGCTCTTTGCTAATGTGACTTATTCAAGGGCATTGTACATGCGTGGCGATCCGTATGAGACGAGCGACGCCGTGTTTGGTGTGAAGAGGAGCCTCATTGTTGACCTGGAGAAAGTTGATGCAGCCACGGCAGCTGAATATGGCGTGGAGGAGGGCACACTTCTCTTGAAGCACGATTTTGTGCTTGTCACACAAAAGGAAGCCGATGAGCTACGAGATCGCAATGCCATCCGAGCGCTTCGAGAGTTGGGCTTGAATATGAAGCTGGTAGATCACTTGCCAGTTCCTGACCTAGACTAGGTGGTAAAATCTCAGTGTGATCGTGGCCCCGCCTTGACCAGTTTCACTACATTTTCATAGTATCCCTCCACACCGCCGTACTTGTGTAATATGGCGTGTATATCTATGTCAGCAGCTGCCTTGGTTCGGTGACGACCTAGGATTCCCGTATTCCTTGTGCTCGGGATGCGTAGCATTTCAGTTTCTGGTTGCCAACCACAATCTTCTGCAATCTGGGATACCCAGTCAACCAGTGAGGCATATGTTGACTTTGGCTTCGACTTGTCCCTTGGTGGGGGCGGTCGGTATTTCTCCCCAGTCAGGCTGTGGCTACAGCAGGGGATCATGATGTAGGGACAGTTGGAGATTGTGCCGAGGATAGGCGTCCAAGGCGTCAGTTCGTCGGCGTGATTTGAGACGATGAATGTACCCGATTTGAAGGCTCCATCGTGGATATTAGCGGGGTGTGGTGGTTGAGAGGGGTTGTTTCCGTCTCTGTGGGGTGGTATTATGCCGGGCAATAGAAGCTTTTCCTCAAGAGATTTCCCGGATGGTGACATGGTCGTTGGAGTTGTGTAGTTGGCCCATGATTTGCGGGGCCGCGCATCGAAACCCCAACCGTTATAACCCTCTTGTGTAAGGAGATATACGAGTAGGCCGTTTCCACACCCTATGTCAACGAAACCAGGGAATTCTTTTCCCTCGTACATGTCTGCCCATAGCTCAATTAAGAAAGCAGCAATGCCAATATCTTCAAATACGTGTTTGCCAGGGTCGGTACTCTCAGCCCAGGTGTCGACCAGTCGGCGTGAATATTTGCTCTTTAGTTGAGCATATCGATTTTGAAATCTTGCCTGGGGTATAACGAGATCATGATGGACCCTTTTGACGTAACCTTGCACAGCTCCTTCGCCATGTCTGTGAAGAACCTCAAGAAGATGAAAGGCAATTCGACCCAGTTTGGCATCCAAAAGGTCACTTGGCGAACCCCCAAGAAAATGAACGGATATTGTTCCAGAACACGAATTGGTGTTCCACTGATGAAGGTGTGCAATTCCTCGGACCTTTGGGTGATAGAAGGGAAGATGCTCCATAGCCACCACATGAGGAATATATATGACCAAAGACGTGACGAGTGTTTCTGACTCATTCATGACATGGAATGTACAGGTTTGATTGAGGGGGCTGTCCCTTCTTTCGCTCCGGGGGATCAATCGTCGTACTAAAGAGCGCTTCAGAGGTATATGAGGGATACTTCGAATGACGGGTTGGACCGTGTCGGGCACACGGTTGGAAGTAGTGACCTCGTCCATGTTGCCATCATCGTACAAGATATCTGCGCGAAATAGCCAAGTAGAATTGATGTTGGGGTTGTGAACCATATTCATCATGATGCTAGAAAACAGCTCTGGCCCAAAAGTACAGCCATGGCTGTAGTACGGCACCCAAACGTCGGTCTCGGTGGTTGAATCTTCGAAATACGGCAATGCTGTTGAGGGCACCTCCTCGGGTTCAAATGGCATAATGAACTGGCCGGTCGTCGACGGCAAAGTCTAGTAAGAATCTTGCATATCAAGTTCGTTTGCTTTGTGACATGTCGCAGGAAGACGGCGGTGGTTGTTGTAACAACTTGGTGCCAGGTGTACCAAACAAACAGATGATGCGACACGGCGACACCATTGACCCAACGCTCGCAATTCTTTGGCCCAATGCACGATGCGTACTGTTACACGCCTAGTTCAGCGGCAAGCACCAAGGCGGTCACAGGCGAGAAGCGTGAGGCAAGTTAGAGATGCCAACACAACTTGGTTGAAAAATCCGCAAGGCCAATGGCGGTTGCCGCCGGCGGCGGGACAGCGAGTAGCCAGCGGGGCTGAGAGAACGCAATGGAGGGGCAATGGAGGGGCAGCAATACACAACCACAAAAAGACAAACCTGCGAACGAGAGAGGCCTCGACGCAGGTTGAATGGCTGTTGTCTGCGGAATTGTGTCTTGATGAATTTAGATTTGGAGCCCCGACATCAAAGATTGAGCTGACAGATTCAGATGGCAGAATGACAGCTCATCCCGCTGCCCCCCAGTCGGTGTGCTCCTGGGGCTGCTCCTGCCATTCATTGTTCGGGATGCCGCTTCAAGGTCGTTTGACACCGATTGGAGACAAGGAGAAAATAGTTATTCGACCAAAAAGAGAGCCGATCCATATGCGAGTGCACGTACGGAATACAAATTTAATGTTGGGATCGATTGATGCAATTGGTTGCACCTGCTGCTCATGTATGCCTCCCAAAGTTCTTGTGGCGGCACTAGAGCGCGCCGTGGAAGCTAGCGCCTGCTCACGTGAGTGAGAACACATCTGTCTGGTGCTCCAGACCAAGCATTTATGCTGCAAGGCTGGGAGAAGCTTTTTTCTACCTATCAGCCAGGTGCGAAGAAAGTTCATAGGTACCCGCCGGCATTCCCTTGGCTCGGTGGCACAGATGGCGCGGTGACGCCGCACCTGAACACAGATGTCGATGGCCTGCAGCAACCAGACCGCCAAGCAAATAATTGAGCCTCGCAACTCGCCCGCACGTGTCTAGAAAGAACACGATCAAGGCAACACCATTTTGATATCACGGTCCCATCTATTTTGCGGCCAGCCAGAGGCCGGTCTCGCCCCTGCAAATTGCAGGAGCTGGTGGGCTGTCATCAGTTTGAAAGAATCCAGGCATTTTACAGGTCACTGGGCCTAATGGGCCTAATGAACCCTGTCGCGATTGGCTCACCACGCTTGAGCGCGAGACTTGAAGGCTGGCACACCGAGACATACGCTGCAGCTCTCAAGAGCATAGTCGTCAACTGGTCGACTCGCCTGATAGCCGGATGCTAGGCCCTTCTGTGACCTTCTGTGGCTCCTCACCTCAAATCTAAGGCAGCAACTGCGCCTCATTCGCCCACCCGACCCGTCGGTGGGGCACTTGGCCGCTACTCGCCGCCCGTTGTCCGCCAGTTGCAAGCTGCTCCCGTCTCTGTAGTCTGCCACCTGCCGCCGTCTGCCCACCACCTTCTTGCCCACACATTCCGCCGCCCGCTGCCCAAGCCCCGTGCCCCTCGTCTCCCACGCTATCAAAAGGCTCCAGACAAGTCTTCTCCCATTTCCCGCCCCTCTTCCCATCACCACCAATCCGGCCTCTTGTCGCAAACGCTCTTGTCAGCCCTTTGCCTCTCGCCACGCACATTTAAACCTTTTCCTTCGCCAGAAGCACAATCCTCCTTCTCGGATTCCATTCTTCCCCCATCGCCTGCTGCTTCAACTTCGCCTTCACGAACCTACAACTCGTTAAAACAATCTTCACACAGCGAGGCACCTCTATCTACAGCCTTTCGCTGAAACACTCCGACTTCGTCAACAAAACCCATTTCCCACAGTCACCCCTCAACGTCCGAGTTTATGTCCATCGAAAATCTTAAGACCTTTGGTAAGTTACCCTCTAGCCTCGTCATCATCGCCCCATGCTCTCGTCATCACCATCTTTTGTTTTTTTTTGTCCTTCGGCCATGTTTTTCCCTCTCGCCCACAAACCCGCTTTTTAATCGCGTCAACCTGTCTCGCTCCTCTGTCAGCTCTCGGCCCCGCCACTTCACCCGCCACGACGCTCTGGCTCCCAACTTCGAAAAATGATGCTAATTTCACGCAATTTTTAGACCCCTTCGCCGAAGCCGACGAAGATACAGGCGAGACCAAGCAGTCACAGAATTACATACATATACGTATTCAGCGTATGTCTTCCACGCTTGCCTTACCCGACTTGCTGTCATACCCGCATGATCACACGGAGCGGCAATATATGTCACAACCTTCCTATCTCCATCTGGCGTGACAGAGAGAGGCAGCAGCGGGTGCAGCTTGAACGCACAGTTACTGACAAATGTATAGAGCGTAATGGACGTAAGACTTTGACCACTGTGCAGGGTCTCCCGAAGAAGTTTGACCAGAAGAAGATTCTCAAGGTCATCAAGAAGAAATTTGGTACGTCGAGGGCTGTCCCCAAACACACCCATTAGTAGCGACACCGGGTACAGACATGGTTACTAACAGCACTCTTCAGCCTGCAATGGCACTATCGTCAACGATACGGAAATGGGGGAGGTGATCCAGCTCCAGGGTGACCAGCGCAAAGATGTTCAGGAATTCCTCGTCGACAAGAAGGAGGGCCTTGAGCTAGACGCCAAGACCATCAAAGTCCACGGTTTCTAAGCCCGCAATGCGCCGTTGCCCTGTCAGCTGCGTGCTCATCGAGAGACATGCGCTGACGTAGAGGACGGTTTGGGACGAGAATGATCCCCCGCGTATTGCGCCTCTTTCCAGATGTATCGATAGCCAGGGGCTCAACTCGGCTCCAATCGAACTCGAGGACGACGGCCACCATCATCCACTGATGCGTGAGATTTTTTTGCTTTTTGTGGTTGTTGAGTGAGGACCCTCGGCAATGGCGAGTATTGGCCGCAGCGAAACGGAAAGCACAGCGACCTGCCTTGCTCAACCCAGGGATGAGTTCGGCTACGGGCCAAGTTTATGCATGGCTTGTCAGTCGCTCGTTAATTTGTTTATCAGGCAAGCTGGGCCGTAGCCTTGGGCAGAGTAGTGAAATTAAAGATGAAATTGCAAAAAAAGAAAAGCTACTGAGCACAAGTTAAGTGACTTATGTCAAAGTGCGAGAGGAACTGATGGTATGAAAAGCGTTGGGGTACTGCTTCATATGATGCGTGCTCCAAAACGCTGTGATGCGACCATTATGCTGTGTGTAACCGATTAATTATTCGACGCTCCGACGCTGGTCAAACAAAAGAAGCAATTGAGCCCTAGACACTAGACAATGGGGTATTTTTTTGAGATTCAACGCCCGCCAAGCAAATGCCATGCAACAATAGATTTCTCAGACACGAATCCGTTCCCCCATCTTGCTTCTTTGCTCCGCTCCTTTCCCCCCTTGGTCCTCTCTCGAGGTCAACTTAGAGCTCTGCTCGTTCGATGGACCCCTTGATTTGCACCAGCATACCATATCCGTCATTCCATAACTCTTTGACATGTCCAATCAACGGCATGGCAGGATAATCGGGTTGAAACGAATGCATGTGTACCAGCAGAGTCACCATGCTAATGTAACTTGCTATCGAAAAGACATTGATGGATGTTGACGTCTCCTTTCGTATGTTGATCTTTTGGTGTGTGATATGGTAGCATACTGTCAGCGTCTATCGTCAAACAAGGCGAGTCAGTAACAATCCATCCTGGGTGCGTCGGTATATATCCAGAAGTGACATACGGTTGCTATGCCTATCCAGCCCGGGAGCATGAGCCGGGGGTCTTGAAAGCCACCGGCACACGAGAGCACGGTCATGGTCAGATACGCATTGACGGCGTTGATTGTGAGCAGACGGACGATGGTCGCTTGGGGAGTGTAGTGGATGAGCCTGTTGGAGAGTTAGTTGGACTGCAGAGTCGACTTGTCAATTTGTCGCGCGTTGGCATCTGACGGACCATCGTGACATGAGGCAGTCGGTAAAGAAGAAGGAGAGATAACCGCAGGCAAAGCACTACATGTATAAGAGAGCTGGTATTAGCGAACTGAGAGTACTGCCGGCTTGGGCCGGGGGCGGGGGCCGGGTAACGAACCCATATTGTTGCCAGGGCGCCTTCTGTCAGGGCGAAGGGGACGGCATCGTCACCGCCGTTGCAGGGCCCGGTTGTGCACGCTCGATTCGGGCGCACGACGAGAATTCGATCGGGGCCAGGAAGAAGGCGTAGGAGAAGCTGCAGGGCGCATGGTAGACCCCACCAGAGCGCGGGGAGAATAGAGCAGAGGCGGAGGGCAAAGAGCCACGGGTGCCAGGGAGGAGGGACGTTGAGGACGACGGCGACTCGAGGTTGGAGGAGAGACGGGTGGACGGGTGGAGGGGACGAAGACGACGAGGAGGACGGGTCGGAGTGGCGGTTGAGGCTATGGGTGTGAGTGTGGCTTCGTTTGTGGTTGGAATTGGAGGAGTTGCGATGTGAAGCTCCGGCCGCAGCTATGGGGACATGCATAGATGTTGAAGATGCGATGTTGGGCGGCGGGTGGTCGGTGGGCGATGAGGATGCGGTGGACGCCGCCCTGTGGTGAGGACGGGCCATCGCCATTGCACTCTCAGGCCATGGGGGGAAGCAGTCGAGTTTTTGATTGAATCGGTCGGCAGGAACTGGATTGTGGTTGGTGCTGCGCTGAAGCCGGACCTTGCTGCTCGACTGTTGGAACTTGGAGGTGGAGGAGGCTCGACGGTGCGGGATGGAGGCACGGCGGAGAGCGGAGAATGCAGATATAGCTTGACCGGCTGCACAAAAGAAGCTGGCGGCGAGCACGCGAGTTTCGAGTGGGAGGGGACAGGCCAGTGTTGTGCTATGCCCGGTCTTAGATGAGAGATGACACCGGACTGGAAGGCATGCTGGCCAGGGTGTTGGGGTGGTGCTGGTGCTGCCCTGCTTCAACATGAACACATGCCTGGCATGCTTGATCCCACTCCGTACGTCCTGCCATCTGGTCGGAAGGTGGTGGGTAAGGGGACTTGGGGGAGTCGAGCTTGGTTGGCAACGCCCACGAGATGATAGCTGATGGCGATCCCAACTGGATGACTGTGGAGAAATGAAGCCCCGTGTGGATCATCCACGGCTTGGGCGACGGGCTGATCCAAGCTCTCGGGAAATCCAACGTCATCTCATCCCCAGAGGGACGGCGTGGTAGCTTGTCCCTATCATCCTTTCTACGGCAAATACCAGCGCAAGAGGATACATCAAATACCACCAGCTTGCGTCAATGTGCAGCCCTGACTTGATTCTTGTCTCGGATCGTGTCAACAGCCTTTTGCAGCAAACATACCAAAATCGCCGTGCATTTGAGTCCTGTTTTCTCGACTGCGCCATTCCTGCAAGCCACCATCTACGGCAACGCGGTTTGCCCATGTTCAAATCGGATGCCCACTGTTGGCAATCAAATCACCCTTCGATTCTCACCAATCAGCTTTGCCGGCGAAGCAATCAATCTAGATATCAATGTGGTGCGCCGAGATTATCGGCTACGCCACTAACATGGAACAGAACCTAGATTCCTGGTTCCCTATGGAAAGCAAACCAGGTAATTGCATGCCAGCGCCTTTTATGCAAGCCGCGTCGCATTCCGTGCTATTGGGGTGCGTCATTGACACCTTGTTCGACATCCCCCTTATCTCTCGAATCTACAGCATCCCACTGCGTTTCTTTAGGGTTAGAACTCGTCTCCATATCCCGGTCTTCTCAATCCTGCTGGAACCATGGTTAGAGCCATAGATGATCGGTGCGCGCTGAGGTGGCTATGCGTGATGAGTAGCTCCTTGATACATGACAGACAATACTGTCGAATCTTTGCCATGCCAGCCATCGTACGGCGTCAGGCTATGTGCGATGATGTTCACGGTGTCTTCGGTGGCTGGAGTTTTCATGCCGTTTCAGGAGGACAGTGGAGATGCTACTACCGTATCACCCACGCATTTTATACGCTGCATACGTCTTGTTCTCTTGTCATGCTAATCCAGAACTAGGTATAAGTCTTGTCCGCAACAGTAGTGACTGGGAAGCTGTGAGAGTATGCTTTGAACTTGTGGCGGCTGTTTCATACTCGGTGCAAGCGCATTTTGCTTTTCAGTACGACGGCATCGGTGTCTAGATTTGTAGAACAATGCCACGTCCTTTTTGATTGTCTCCATTGAAAGCCCTCAGTATTAGATCCGCCGGGGGATGTGCCTTTGCCAGCAAGGGGCGTGCTCAGCTGGCCCTTTGGAGAATCGTATCAAACACCTGCTGAAGCGAACTGGACCTGTGAGTTAGAGGTGTTTTTTCTTCTTCAGAAATCATGAATCATCTTTCCTGACTTCTCTGAGGCTTTTCGCCCCTGTGGGGAAACGAATCTTCTACCGCATGGCAGCAAACAGGCCGCCATCGACGCATTTGCCCTGCTGAGGCTGAGAACATCATGAGCTGAGTGGAATTCGCGACAAACAACTTCGACTGTCATCATTGATACAGGGGAATCGTCTCGGCATCTGCACATCTGCCGCTCGGCTTCTCCGAGAGCACAAAGTCCCACAGTTTGGCAGGATCATGTCCGGGCATGGACGCGTAGGCTTGCCTCAATTTTAGTAGCTAGAAGCAGGGTTCAGGGCCATGTAAATCAAGACCTAAGCTATAAAGAAGTCATTTTCGTTAGCACAGTCCGTTTTGAGCATGGAAAGAAAAGTAATATGTTACACCACAGACGGACCACAGCACAACTGTGACACGCAAGGAAGTTTGTCTATCTGACACCTTACTGTTCCCGAGACCTTGTGGGGTTGTCATGCAAGCGACTCGTTATCCGGCATTGCTCAGTCGCGGAGTAATCTTGTACAGACTCATTCTCTTGAACGAATCGGTTACATTGAATGTTACTTTTCGGTTGAATCCGGTCCACCACCGTGTCACTTGTCACACGCGTGTTTTGACCAAGTCGGGGGATATGGCTTCACCCATGGCCGCCGTCGTAAGTTGGAGTAGCCTTTGCCACGATTTTCCACACCCACTTGACTGGGTAGGTATATCACATGTGGAAGCATGTCCTTGGTGCTGACCAACGATTGCAGGGAAGCCAAGAAATGACAGAAGTAGCAGCTGCAATTATAGCTATACGGCGAGACATTAGTGTTTTGCGCGTCGAGATCAGTGAAGGCCTTGAGAAAATATGCTCTTCAACTTCGGTGTTCGACAAGAGCCTCCTGGATGTTTATGGGACCTTCATGAAAGACGTCAGTGCGCGGCTTGACTCCTTAGCGCTCGACATCATGACTACCAGAGTCGACATACAGGCTCTGGGGCTGGACATTGACCAGGCCCACGACCGTGTATGCACCACTCTCGACGACCATCGCAGTGGAATATTCAAGGCTGTACAAGACTCGCACATGGCCACGTCTGGCAGACTTGAGGGATTGTCAAGGGCTGTCGTCGACGTCAACAGTCGAACTAAACATGGGTTTCTTGAAACTGGCCACGGTCTCGATGTGAACCACGATGCCTTTGTAACAAGGCTCAACAAGGTATCCGAGGATGTCAACTTGACTGTTTGTAAAAAGATCGACAACGCCAACAGCCATACCAATAAGCTCATTGTTGACACGAGAGACCACTTGCAAGGTCGGCTTGATGAGGTCCAGGAGGAAGTGGAGAGTTCACGTCGCCGGACACACGAGAAATTGAACGATGTGCACGAAGCCATTGCTGGCATCGTGAATACTACACGCGACAGACTTCTTCGCAAAATCGAACAGGCTACGTCGTTGTTCAGCTCGATGCAGCCGTTGATGCGCGAGCTCAGGAGGAACCACAAAGGGTAACTTGCAACTCCTCTCTAAGCAAGGTTAACGTGCTGATTTGATTGATATAGGCACGCCAAGAACGAGGTTGAGATCGAAGGTGAGATGGTGCAGGCTGCATGCTATGCCCCAGGAATTTGCGCTGATGTCGACGATTTTAGATCTTCACGATCCCGTTTCTCGTCCATCACCAGGTCACGGCAGCGACACATCTCATACGAAGAGCGGCCCAGAGTCAGTACTACACTTTCGAAATGATAATGATTCCATATCATCAGTGGCAAAGGGGCTGTAAGGACTGTCGGGCAGCGGAACCTGTTACTTGTTTCCATTGATATTGAGAGGGCGAGGATGGCTCCCCGGCTTGTAGTCCTCTTGAGCGCGTAATGTTTGATGTAATTTCCCAGTGGCTGAGTGGGAAGGTCGACGGGTCTCGTATTTCTCCCCCCTGCCGCACAGTACATAGGGCGAAAACACACAAAACAAACGTAACGTGGCCACGCCCATTTTTTTGGGGTATTTTATTGTGTGACGCCCCCCTAGACATGGAAATGGATGCTAGTAAGGGGCCCCACGACCCATTTTCTAAAGCGGATACGACGGACAGAAGAATTCAGCCCTACACCCTATATAGATCTGTGTATGCTGAGAGTGCGAGGATACATGTGGAACGATGTGAGATGTGTTGGCGGACATGTGTCGATATTGAAAATGGTGCTACCAATCGATCTGTCGTCCGGTCGGTTGACGCAGTAGTCGACCCACGCGACGTCTTGGCATGCCATAGTTTAGATCGTCGCGAGTAAAATGGTGCCTGTATGAGAAATAGAAGAAGATCAGGATATCCGGTTTGGCCACCAAATTACACCATCGCTGTGCGTCATTTTCTAACCGGGATTGACCAGTTCGGCAAACGACCGAGTCAAGGCTGTGATGAGGAAAGTGGCGTGTTGGAAAAAGGCAGTCTCGAACCCAATTCCCGTTAACCGACGACCGTTAACAGTCCACCGTCGACCTGTACGAATGGGGGCACGAGCCACCGCCAGACAGAACTGCAGGGTCCAAACGTCTCCATTGGACCTAAGTGGCCCTCGACCTCTTGGAGACAGCCATGGAGCGAGCAGCTTAAGAGGATCAAGACGAGCTGGAGAGGATGGAGAGGGGTGATGGAGAGAGAGAGCGCGAGGCAGCTGGAGCGAGTTGACGGTCAACACAGCCAAAGTCCCCGCTCCCCATTTACATAACAATTTGTTGTGCTGCTTCCTGTTTTTGGTTTTTTTTTCCTTTCTCCTTATGTTCTCGTTTTATCTTCGTTTTGTCTTGCCACGAAATATCGACCACCTCCGATTGTGCCGTGTTCGTTCGGTTGCGTCGCAGCCCAAGAACCCCTCGGTGTGCGACGTAATCGCCATCATGACTATGGACACCGAAGGCTCCCTCGTCCACCTCAGTGATGGAGCTCGCTTATACGTCAAAATACTGGGCGACAATGACAGGTCCAAACAGCTAGTGGTTGGTCTACACGGCAGACCTGGTGTGTCTGACCATCGAGAAACAGAGGCCTCATTTCAATTTCTGTCGTCGCGGTTTCGAGTCCTGGTATACGATGCGCGAGGCAGCGGACGCAGCGATCCCAAGGGCCCTTACACCCACGACCGTTGGGCTGCAGATATAGACGAACTGAGGTATGTGCCGTCTCCTCCTGTTCCTCGGCTGGGGTTGATAATAGTCATCAATAAATTAAACGCCGGCCGTCTCTCGAGAGTCGTTTTCTAACTATGACCAGAATCTGGGCAGGCTCAGAACCCATCATCCTCGCCGGAGGCTCATATGGCGGATATGTTGCCCTGGAGTATGCCATCAAATACCCCTCTCATATATCAGCTCTCATTCTCCGAGACACGTCGACTTTCGGCTTCAAAAGCACCATGTACTGTCTCAAGTCATCACTTACATCCCCCCGAATCAAAGCCGATGCAGATCGCCAATACAGAACCTGGGCAGGCTGTTTAAGAAACAACGACGACCTCCAGGCTAGTTTCAGCGAAATCCTCCCCATTTTCGAATCAGAGAAGACGGGCAGCGAGCCGGCGCCGATAGTGTCCGACCCAAGCCAGTTGAGATTGCATTATGAGACGCACAACTTCGCCATGAGCTACAATATGCCGCGGTTTGACGTACGTCCGAGGCTTGGTGACATTTCTGCGCCGACGTTGATCGTGGTCGGGCGACATGATCTTGTTGCGCCCGTACAGTTTAGCGAGGAAATGCACAATTTGATGCCAAACTCCCAGTTGGCCGTCTTTGAAAAATCTGGACAGAATCCGCCTGCAGAGGAACCGGACGCTTTCCAGCAAAGAGTCACTCAATTTTTGGACTATTTTAGGCTATGATGTAATATACCCCGTGGCGAGGCCATTGAGAGACCATTCTTGTGTACAGAGCATAGTAGGTCGCATTACATTCGTTCTGGGATGGAAATATACGTACGGAGTAGGTGCTGGAATTGTTTGTCGCAGAAAGTGCCGTGACCAGTATGGCAGTGGCTTGGACAAGCAGCAGTTATCGACCAAGCCGCGTATCCGAGCGCATACCAAAGATTGTTATGCCTTGCCTCTTACTCCCTGTGATTTCTGCCTCCCATAATTGAATGTAATGTTTCGCATGTTGATATCGCGTGCTCGTGGTGTCAAAATGGCATTAAGATGATGATGTCGCTATGCCGTACTGGGTCATCATTCACCAGAGCACGTGTGGCATTATAAGAATAAGATTCTTGAACCAACTACTTCAAAAGACTCTTTGACATGTAAGAGCTTTTAATTGGCACTTTTGATCAAGTTTTTTCTTCGGGCAAAACCTTGGAAGCAATTAAATCACTGGCAAAGCCGTAGCCAAGCAGACGCTCGGCCAGTTTCTCAGCCCTCGGTGCTTAATGATAGCTAATCAGACAGCAATATTCGAGATCCACGAGATTCGGTCTCGTCCTTTTGCGTCTACCATAGCATCCATAGATGGCATTCGGCCGAGAATCGTCGTCCACAGTTACGTTTGCATCGGGTCGTTGTCTCGTTCGACGGGAAAGAAGGAATAAAGGGCCTCATAGAGCCTGTTAAGGGTAAGGGAGGAGGGAGAGTAATCAATGTCAATTTCAATTATCACATGCCAAGCTGTCAGTGCTTGTGAGCGCGACGGCAGACTTACCTATTGTGACATTGTCCCACAACACCGAAAACATTCGTGCCAGACCAAGGTTGGTCGAAAGGACGATGATGACAGTTATCAGAAACACAATGACTTTAATGCCATCTGAAGAACTTTTCTTGCATATTCGCAAACCAAAGTGAATCTTGACTGTTTTGCAAGCGTTTGAAGAGCCGAACTAGGGCAGCGGCGGCAGCTTGGTGCGTCCAACTGGAGTGGGCGGGAAAACACAGAGTGCCTCCAGCGCAGGCAAATGGAAATAGCCCGACGATGATTCATGAATGCAATTTAAAAGGCACTGTTCTACCCCATGGGCTTTTTAAATTTACACTCTTACTCACTCGGTATCCTCTTGTGCAGGAAGTGGTCGTCCTCTGGCTACATCAGTCTTCGACGATACGAAATCTGTGCAATCGCTTCCGAATCCCATCAAGTCCCTGGCAGTGCAACTCACCGCCCCCCTTGCATTTCATTTTACTAAAATATGCGTCAAGTCGACGGGATACGCTCGATTTCGCAGAAAAGATGCCAGCAGATGAAGCCAGGTGACGGTAGGAACACAACATAGGGCGACATCAAGCACATCGCGTGGACCTCTCTCGCGAGAAAACTCACAATACAAGGGACATACATATTCATCAAGACAGGAAACAAAGAAGGTCCCATGACCGTAAGTACCAGACCACTTACACCCGTAGGATGCCGACGGTCAGGGCTACAAGAGTGTCAGTCTGGTTTGGTCCAACTGTCAAGAGTGCTCATCAAATAAATGTAAGGCTTGGCAGGTGCTTAGCTTCCTATCGTCGCTCCTTCCTTCTTTTTATTCCCAGCCCGCTTCTCCTCCTTTTATCTCTTCCTCTCCTCATGTTCCAACGCTTTTTTTTTAACAGGTACGCAACACCTCATCACATCTGCTGAGACCAGAGATACAGTTCTCGTCAGTAAGGGCGATACCAATACCTTCTATCACAAGCACATATTGTACTATCATTATCTTATTTGACTTCTTCCCCTTCGGCTTTGGTGTTCTCTGCCACAAGTGAGTATCGCGTTCTAGCGGACCACCACCTCGATTTCAGAACTTCGATTTTCAGAGCTCGGGAAGAGAGATTCTCCTTACAAAGTCTTCTACTGTATCATCTTTCTACTTATTTTTCTAAAATTTCCCCTCGAAATTTTATTTCCATCATTTCGCTCTGGTAAGCCATTTCCTCCCCACCATCGAGTTGGCTAACAGCAGCATCAGCACGAGGAGAAACAATACGCGCAAGTCATCATGGCTCACCACGGATCCATGGCCAAAACGGGAAATCTTGATCATGGTTTCAGATCCGTGAGGAAATCATCTTCGGATGACCATCTTACATCCCCAAGTCCGTTGCGTGGCGGCGGCGTGTGTGAGTACTCTTTGATTGCTTTTTTTTTCGCCTTCCATCTACATTTCCTCGCCCTTACCCTTCCTTTCTTACCCAACCTTTTTTTTTCATTCACATCCAAGCTCCATCGCCTCCCTGGCAGACATTTTTTAGGATCGTTTCGCCACTTAGGCAGTATCGTCGGGGAATATCTGATCGTCGTACTTTGACTTTTTGAACACGTCCTGTTTTCTTCAAGTGTATACTAAGCTTTCTATGGAAGTTGGACAGCTTTTCTATCTTTAGGAACTGGCGATGGCCACAGATTCTGTTAGGGCTGGCACAGTTAGCGCCCTATTGTATTAGAGTCATTACAGATTTGCTACGTATTCAACAGCTAACATCCATCTAGCTCTCGGACCACGCTACGCCAGTGCTAGAGCTTCGCCAACACCGACCATCCAGTAATATGCCGTCTTTTCTCTCCTTCAAGTCTGCCATGACTACTAACATAATGCAGGAATCACCGTCGCAAAACGGCCTCCGATGACGGGACGCCAAAGTCTACCAAGTCAGTACCACCAGTCGCTTCTCTTCGTTTGAAAATTGTTAATGATATCGTACAGTTCATCGGCTTTCCTAGTAGGCTCTAGTGTCGAAGATGATATTTTCACCGAAGTATCGTCTGAAACCCCGGCCAAGGCATCTGTGGCTAACAACGAAACACAACTTCAAGTGTTCGAAGGCCCTCCGGCAAAGGTAGATGCTCAGGTCATCTACCCAGGCACTGCCTGCATGTTCGTTGCAAAGTAAGCTCTGCGCCATGTTCTTCATTTCATTATGCCTAACAGTAATTTGTTAGTCTCTCCCAACCTTACGAGGACAAGGTTCTCGAGTTCGAAGTTACCAAGGCCTTTAGCCAATTTGGAGAGGTCTGGGTGAAAATCAAGAGAGATAATTATCACATGCCCTTCGCATTTTGTCAATTCACTGTAAGGCAAAACTAATCACAGTTGCCCAGAATTTCGAGGAAACTGCTAAAACAGGAGAATTTCAGAATGATCACGATGCTCAGAGGGCAGAAAAGTTTGGCAAGGGAATAAAAATTCTTGGTCGGGCTTGCCGCACTGAGATGGCTCGGGCCCAGTGTACGTGAATTTTTCCCATCTTCCAGGATCATCGGCTGACTTCTTTAGCCTCTTTCCTTGTCTCAAAGAAAAGTGGCATGCCAACTACAATTGCTGAGGCTACAACGCTCCTCAGCCAGCTCGGAGAAGTCGCAAAGGCTGAGTTTGCAGACGAGGGAATCCAACGATCTCTTGGTGTTCCACCGCCTGTCCTCGTCACATACAAAATGTATGATTCTAGGCGTGAACCAGTCAGAGTAAGTACCTTTTATTTATCTGTGTCTGCATATTTCATCCCTTTTCTAACTCCTGTGGCAGTACTTTGCCCAGAATCAAACCTATTTAGTCATAGCCAACAATCCAAAACGACACAATGAGATCGTGCCTTCTGCGTCCAAGTGGGACGGCGGCGATGCACTCATGCAAAGATACGACAAGGACCGTCGATCCGCATATGTTGGGAACCTCCCCTCCGACATGACTGAGGACGCTCTTCGCGCTCTCGCCAGCTCCAGTGGAGAGGTTCTAGGGATTCAGATATACAAGAGGGAGATTCCAGGCAAACCCGGTATGTGTCGCCGCTTAATATCCTCCCGATAGTGTTAAGTAGTCTGACACCCATCCTAGGACAAACAAATTGCTTTGCATTTATCGAGTTTGCAAGGCCAGACGGTGCTGATGATCTGATCACAACTATGGTGACTAATATCACATCATGCACCAGTACTACCTGCCGATGCTAATCTTTTGACTTTAGAACAGTACAGAAATTGATGGCAAATCCATTCGAGTGGAGCGTAAGCATTCTCGAACGTTTGAGACTCCACGACGTGAAGCTGGGCACAAGAGCTGCTGGTCGACTCTTCCGAGACGCCGGACTCCCAGTTCATTTACGCTGGCTCAGACTGCAAATATTGATGATAATACATCGCCAATGAGATTCACTGAATCTCAGCATCGCTCCACAGCCTACAACAAGTCATTTTCTTATGGGCAGAGACGCCCGCGCCAGACCATCTTCAATAGTGACACGTCTGTTGGCAAAGCCATGTCCTCTCTCAACCTTGAGCAAGCTCCGGCAAAGGTTGATGATACAGCTCAAAATGTTCAGCTCAGCGGACCCCAATATAAAGTCGGAGCTTCTGAATCCCCTACTAAGAAGTCCGTTGAGTTTGAACTGCCTAACGGAAATCGCTCCGGAAATTGCCCGGCCACCCCCAAGATCACTGCGGCAAACGGGGATCAGCACGTGGCAGGTCCGCTCATGCCGGACAATGATTCCGGCGCTCAAGCAGCTGTCAACACTGCTGCAGCCCACCAACACCCGATCTCGCCAGGTGTTATGATGCCGCCCTCTTTTGGTTGGACGCCATTCTATCAGCCGTTTCCGCAAGGCTATCAGTACATGGCGGGACCATTCACTCCTCATCAGTCAGGGAATGAAGGTATAGTGCCATCATATATGACTCCTCAATACCCTGCTCATCCGACCATGTTTTATAATAACATGATGATGGCAACGCCTCCTATGATGGCTCCTCCTCCGACTCCTACGGGACAATTTCGAGGTTCGGATCACCACAAGGGACATGGCCGAGTATCCAATGAGCAAAACTCTTCTCAGTAGAAGTCATTCATCACCATGGCCCAAAATCGACGCAGACCAGCAACAGCAAGCGTGGCGTGGACACAGACAACATGCTAAGATGCTTTATTGCAAAGACTATTCAACCGTTGAGACGTTTCCTAGTTTTCTGTTCTTTTTCTTTTTACACGAGTTCCCTTGACAGAAGGCACAAAGAGGAACTTCCTTTCCGATGAGCTACCCGGTGGTTGGGAATGCTCGGCCGTGCTCTTTTCTGGAATTATGCAAATCAAGGCTTTTTTTCCTTTTCGCTGTGATTTGGAAGTTAATCTATTTACATGGACGGACGTCTGGAAATCCGGGGGCAAGAATCGCGACCAGTTTACCGGAAGTAAGAGCGGTTAGGAGACACTTGTTTGAGTATTTCAGGAAATCGTGACTAGAGATAGGATAGTCCATTCTGCGAACGGCGCAAGGAATTGGAATCCTGTAATCTAGAAATTAGGTTGGCTGATAGGGCCAGGAAATTTGTGACCTGTAGTGTAGAGTTTTGTTCACAACACCAAAGGGCCGGCATAACTTGGTGAAAGTTTAACAGCTCACAGCTCGAATGGGGGTTCGAGGGGGAGCTGCTACGGAAGAGTGCGAGACTCGGCGAATGGGGCCGCCAGGGTGGAAAAAAAAAAACTGTCACTGGGGGGGATGCGATCCCTGTTTATTTCAAACCTGTTCTCTCTGGGAGCAATTGAGAGCGCCAACGGACGATAAATACAAGCACCAGACTGCACTTCAAGCGCTGTAAGGCACCACATGCAGGCATCAATGTGCAACTGTGCTGCTTTGGCCTCAGGCAGCATCATCATCGTTGTTATTGGTAATCAATAAGTCGACATTTGCATCCATCAACACTAATCACACACATCACAATGCACAGCACAGCTGCCTTCAGATATTGGCATTGACACATCATCCATCATGCATGCACCAAGTACCCCATCATGGATCCAATAGTTAATTCCACCAGCTATGCTCCAGGCCCAGCTGATCCACCATCAGAAGCGAAACCCCCACCGCAGAACGCCAATTCTAAACCGTTTTAGGCGCTGGTGCCACCAACCACTATCGGATGAGCCAAGAGATGCGATTTTTTTTTCTTCCAAGTCGGAGACATTGCAATCCGCTGAAGAATTTTCTTGGGGTTTTTAAACACTCGAATCATATCGCGTGAGCAACGTGCTTACAGGGCTAGAGAATCGCAGATTCTAGTTATTTTCCTTCTTGCACTCCTCTCCCTCCTCCCAGTAATCCATTCACCGGGTTCGAGAAGCGCCGTCAAAAAACAAACATCATGGGTCAACCATCGTTTCCGGCGTCAAATGCCATCATCTACTTGACTTATGGAGCCTTTCTGTACGTAACGACCGTTGTCTCATATCACCACACATGGCTGGCCAGCGCTAACCTCTGTCGCACAGGGTCCTGGGAACAGGAATCGCTTGGACGATGAGAAATCAGTCCAAACAGGATTTCCTGAGCAGCAATGGAACGCAAAGTGGTGAGCAATGCGGGGGACATGCGTTCAACACCTCGAAATAACTTCAAGAAATGGGTGGAATAGAACACCGCGAGCTCAGCTAACTCATTCTCACTCCAGCCTTCCCTCTTGCTCTCAACTTTATCGCCTCCGGTGAGTAGAGCCGTCACGGTTCAGCTACATCATCATGTTTCCGGGGCGGTAGCCTTTCGGGCCAGCGGATGCAATAACAGCACCCATGCGAATCCTTTGGCAAAGGCCTTGGTCGCGTATACGCGACTATACGAAACAGCAGCAGTGTCAACTTAGATGAGTAGGTTTATTCCCTGATCTTATTCTTCTCCTCTCTTGACGACGAGGTTATGAGAGCTTCTTCTCCTGCTTCTGATGATCTAGTGCAAATCTACTGGTCGCCGTCCCTGGCATCAGTCTCGCCTCCCCTGCATGGAAATCACTTTCGAAGCAGTGTGAGGAGAAAAAGCATCAACACTCTTTGTCGCAAGAGGGGAGAGGATGCGGCTCACTACGGGCGCTGATTTGAAGCAAGATGTGGGATCCAACTCCTGGAAGACAATGTTCCAGGGGAGATCTTGCACTCTGTGGATCTGAAGCTGAGATTGCACCGTAATTACTCGATCAAGTTAATGCTTGCGTGGGAAATGTGTTGCCGCTCAAACCCCCTTCTTATTTTGTGTCTAGTCAAACCTTCGTTTGTGTCGTACTGACATGTGCAGCCCTCGGAGCCGGTATCCTCTTCTCCTATCCCGAGCTCGCAACCATAACTGGTGTTCAGGGAGTCATCATTTACGCCCTGGCATCGGCGTTGCCTATGCTCATTTTTGGAGCCCTCGGACCTATTATCCGCCGCAAGTGTCCCGAAGGTTTCGTCTTGACGGAGTGGACACGGCAACGCTACGGGACAGTTGCCATGTTCTACCTCAGCTTCATGACCCTGGTGACATTGTTCTTGTACATGGTAGCAGAGTTGTCTGCTCTTGGTCAGGTCGTGAGTACATTAACCGGGATTGATAGCCTACCCGTGATTATCGTTGAATGCGTCATCACTACCATTTATACCTGTTAGACAGCCTGCATCCCCTGGTCCTATTATTGAATAGCATTGAGTGCTAATAATGTCATAGCTTTGGGTGGTTTCAAGATTTCTTTCCTCACAGATGTCATCCAAGGCGGTATGGTTGTCGGCCTCATCATCATTGCCACCATCACCGTTGGTGCCAAGACAGAAATCAAACGTGAGCTCATAGACTCGTCGCACCTTTTAGAACCTAGCCTCCTTGGTTGGCAGCTCCTGTATATCTTGCCCGTTGCTGTTCTCACCAACGACTTCTTTCTGTCCAATTTTTGGCTGCGAACATTTTCTTCCAAATCTGACAAGGATCTTTGGGTTGGCGTATCAGTTGCCATGGTGGTTATCCTGTGCATCCTCACTCTTGTCGGCTGTACTGGCTTGATTGCGGCTTGGTCTGGCGCATGGCCAGGTGAACCAGAGCAGGAGGGCTCACTTGCCTTTTTCCTGCTTCTTCAACAGCTACCTAGCTGGGTTGTTGGCATTATTCTCGTCATGGTTGTCTCCCTCAGCACCGCTGCCTTTGATAGTCTGCAGTCAGCCATGGTTTCTTCCGCCTCCAACGACTTATTCCGCAACCGCCTGAATATCTGGTACATCCGCGGCATGGTTGTGCTCATCATCATCCCTGTCGTGGTGGTTGCTCTCCGCGCATCATCCATCCTGCAGATCTACCTCATCAGCGATCTGCTCTCCGCGGCTACCATTCCCGTCTTGTGCCTTGGTCTCAGCGACCGCCTCTACTGGTGGCGCGGCTTTGAAGTCGTCGTCGGTGGTTTGGGTGGTATTTTGACCGTCTTCATATTTGGCGCTGTTTACTACAAGGATGCCGAACAAGGCGCCCAATTACTGCTCATTCAGAATGGTCTGTATGCCAATGATTGGAGCACATTTGGTGCATTTGTCGCAGCCCCTGTTGGGGGTATTGTTTGGGGCTTTGGGGCTCTCGCCCTTCGTTTGTCATTCCAGTATATCAAGGCCAGGCTCCGCCGTGAGCGCTTTGATGCACTTGATCGACCCCCCTTATGACCCGTACGGTCTATGACTCCGAAATGCCGGACGAAGTTGTAATTGCCTCGTCCAAGGCTGGCAAGTTTTTTTAGAGCTTAGCTATTTGCAAAGACTTGGCGTGGGAGGGACGTGGTTCATTTGTCGAGCGTAACGCTCGCCGTCATCGTCGTCGTGGTCAAGGACATAAAGGAGCATTTGATTGGCGTGTACAGCACACTCATGTGCTAGCATGACATGGTTCAACATGATGAAGAGACTAGACTATATGTTTGAGTATGGTATCGTAGGATACCAATAATACAAATGCCTGATGGGAGAAACATATAACGTGTCCAACCCGTAACTTGTCCATTTTCGCTCCCAATGCAAGATGTTATGGTACAGGTACAAAAAGATCGTGACAAAGTCCACGTTTGATTTACATTTTCAACCACCACCTCCCCGCAGAATGCCATCCCATGCGCTTTCCCAAGAATTTCTCGTCCCAATCCTTTTGAATTTACTTGGGAGCCGAATCGGTCCACCCCGCCCGCCTGGCCTGCTCTTTGTCTATAACAGCCTTCTCCCGCAAGTAGGCGTCCAACGTCGTTACCGAAGTGGTCCCCCATATGCGCCAAGGCGTAGTCTCAAAAGTCTTCTGGTTCGCTTGTCTCGACAGCACGACGTATTCAATCTTATCCTGCAGCTTCAAGCTCCCCGGAACAGTCTCGCCCGTGACAGCGCTAATCTTGGCCGCCTGCTGCGTCGACGCAATCGCCACGACCGCCTGCTCCGTGACCATGGTCTTGTCAAAGGGGTTCACCTCGTGGATCTGATGAGACATCAACTTGGGATAAAACAGGCCCTTGTTGTACTTGACAAGCTCGAAACGTACGCGCTCCTTGGGGTCGCGGCGGTCAATGGCCGCGCTGAGCTTCTTGGCGAACTCCCCGAGGCAAATCTTGTTCAGGGTGACCTTGTCGCCGGCGGCAAAGGCCTCTAGCATCTCGCAGTACATGGCTTTGGCTGTGGGTGCAATCTTGCCCCGGCGGGCTTTCCATTTCGGCCGTGTCGTCCAGTTGGGCATCGACTTGAGCTTGAAGTTGAGGACTGACGTGGCGCAGATGAGCCAGTGCTTCATGCGGGCGATTTGGTATTGGAGGAGCTCGGAGGGAGATTTGGGGTACTGTGATAGCGGGAGGGAGACGAATGTGCCTGGGAAAGCATTTACATGTTAGTTTTCGGTTGTTATTTAACAGTTGGGCAAATCTCGTTCGTGGGTGTCAACGGACCGGGAAATAGAGGACCACCGCCATCTTTAAAGTATTCGGCATTCGCAAGCTTTTGCATGTTCGACATGCTCTGCTCCTTGGCCATTTTATTCGAGCTCTGGCGAGAGGCTCGGTCCATTTCTCGAATAATCTTGTTCCTGCCGGGCATAGACGCATAGAGTCTTGTGCTGTGAATCGCCAAGGGTCCCGCGATGGCACGTCGCAGCGGGTGTGAAGAGCCAGCTCGCCATGCTGGAGCTAGCGAGGCCATGTTGAAGAGTTGCTTAAGCAAGTTATTGTGTCGCAAGCTCGCAACAGGCCTTCGATTGGGGCGTTGCGACGGAGTTTGCCCGGCCGCTGGCGTGGTCGAGCTCGGCACTGGTGATGTTGGAAACTGTAGGAGCAGAGAAGTTCCGAGTGCGGAATAAAGTAATCCCCCCTGCCGAAGCACAGGGTAAGTGCGTGCGAAAAGAGGCATGGACTTGGTGGATGATAGCAGATCCACACCGGGATAGGTGGTACGGATTTAGCATCTCCCAACTTCCCACGAGCTCCATTCATGTCAATTTCAACGTCATACCTTTTGTCGCAACAGCTTTTCGCCGCCACGACACGTGCGGCGCCACCAATAACCGCAGCTTTTCTTATACCGTCATCCCATGTTCTTGGAGAGCCGGTGAGCCAATTGGCTCGGACTGGGCAGCTGTCGCTCAGCAATTCACCGCCCCGCGAAACATCCTCTGGACGTCCGACATGATGAAGGTTACGACTCCGCTTCTGGGGAAGGGCTTGCTAGGCCGTAGCGTCGATGAGCTGCGGAGGCGCACCAGCATAGGTTTGTGTACCACGGCTATATTCTCTACTCTATATGCATCAGGACTGGTGCTGACCGTTGATCAGCCCTGAAGATGGAAGCTGTCAAGGGACCGCTCGGCCCGCGAGGTTTATACGAATTCAACAGCGCCGCCTCAGTACAAGACTGCATCCTCATGTCTGATAACTTGATTGGGGGCTCTTCAAAAAGTCATCTCGACTTCATATCTACCGGCACCACCGACTCACCTTCAAACCCAACCGGCTCCTCGTCGCCGTCGTCATACGCCCGCTTCCACGGCCAAATATCCACCTCCCTCCCTGCGAATCGCCCAAACATCCAGCGCAGCGGATACGCGGCGTTCCGTACTCCTGATCAGCGGCCGACTCTATTTGGTCGTTCGGTATGGGATATCGACCCGTATGCCTATCTTGCTTTGCGGATCAAGTCAGACGGCAGATCATATTTTGTCAATTTGCAGACGGAGGCTGTGGAGCCCACGGATCTGCATCAGCATCGCTTATTTGCGAAACGGCCCGGACAGTGGGAGACTGTCATGATCAAGTGGAATGATTTTGTGAGGACAAACCATGGGTTTGTGGTGGAGCCGCAGACAGAGATATTACGACAGAAAGTGAGAACGGTGGGTATTGGGCTGACGGACCGCGTCGAGGGCCCGTTTGAACTGTGCATAGAAAAGGTATGGGCTACGAATGAGGTTGCTGAAGACGCGACGGTGGTGAAGTCGGGGGCCAGCGAGTTGAAGAATAAGCGGGGAGAGAAGATTCAGTGGTAGACAAACGTGGACTAGCAGATAGGAAACAGTTCGTCATGCGAGCATTCAGAGATGTCCATGAGGGAAGGAAACTAGTTATTGGGCTATCAGAGCCCTGACTTGAGTACCCTTGGCGAGGCTTAGTATGGGTTTCTAAGGTGGTTATAAGGTTTGTCTAGGGGGCGTGAATAAGGTATCTATCTACATGCAGTGGTATAATAGCCGTCCTGTACGAACAATATTTGCAACAGACTCATTCATCACCGTCCAAGCCTCAATGACTCTGCTGTTTTTCGCAACTCCACATACGCCGCTGCATAGTCAGCAGCCAATGCCACCTCCCCCGTCAGTTTCATAATCATTGCCTTCTTGGCCATCATTTCGCATTGGCCTTTGATGTCCTCGATTGTCGAGTAGTGATCAAACGCCTTTTGCACGGCTGATAATGCTCTAGTCATATGTTCGGTTCGCTTGCTCGACTTTGGGGGCATATTTCCCGCCATGCCCATACTTGCGTCGGCAAGAAATGAGTAAAGCTGAGCTGAGAGAGATGATGATTCGCATTCCAAAGCCCGAGGTAAAACTGCAATAAGGAGCTGTACAGCTGCCTCGAATTCGCCCAAAGATACGAGGATATTGGACAAGGCACCGATGGCTTGCCAGAGGCAAGGAATCAGCCGTGCACGCCATGCTATGTTTGTAGCACGGACTGCTGTTGAGAAGGCTCTTTGCGGGCGACCGCATTTGTCTAGCAAAGCGACCTTCATGAGGAGAAGCTTCACACGTAGAGCAATGTCCTTGTTCTCGTCTCGCAGCTTGCATATCAAGCTCTCCACCTTCTGAAAAGCTTTTTGTAAATCGCCTCGGCGGATTAAGCAGTCGATGTGTAGCGAGTCGATAATAAAAGCCATGTCAGGCTCAAGATCATCCGAATCTGACTGCAAGAGCTGGCGGAGCAACTCTTCAGCACCATCTAAATTGTCCTGGTGCAAGTCTTTTCTTAGCTTTATGATTGCTCTATACTTGTACCAGTATTGGCTGGATTTCCACGAGCGCAGTGAGTTCTCGTCAAGCTTCTCCAAGTATTGGAGACCCTCGTCATATCGACCACGATCGGATAACGTCAGTGCTATACGGCAAGTATGTTTAAGTTCATCATCAAATACTGCGTGCCTTGCGTGACATCTTAGGAAAATTTCCGACGTCAGGGTGGACAATTGTGTCAGGCCCAGTCGATTCCATAATGCAGAGTACAATGACAGTTGGGAGCCAAACATGGTCTTCATGTTTCTCTCAACGATGACTTGTGAACTTCGAACCATGTACTCTAGAGACGTTGCAACACTGTCTCCATTGATGAGGCCTAGCTTGGCCTCGCTCAGGAGCACGGAACTCCAAAGAGACCACATGCCAGACTCTTTAGCCTTGACCCTCAGGAACGCCAGGCTTTCCTTGCCAGTACCCAATAGGCTGTTTGACTCCAAATCACGAACCAGGTTGGGATGCGCCCGACCAAAATGAAAAAGCCAATTCAATGCAAAATTGAGACACGTCATATCCCGATTTTCTCGTGCTGTAGAAACAGCCTCTAACATGGCCGAGATGGCTTCCTGATGGCACCCGAATTCTGCTTGCAACACAGCCAAATTCATAAGGGCATACTGGTAAAAGAGTCTGTCTCGATATTGCATAGTATAGTCGAAATATCTATGCAAAAAGTCGAATGCTGTGGGATAGTCCCCAGACTTCCACGCGTCAAGGAAGCTGCACCACAGTTAGAGAGAATGCAAAATTGTCCACCGCATAGCCACCGCATACCTCAAATAGTGTGTTAGACTAGGGACGAGAAAGCTGTCGTGCAGAAGATCATGAAACTGGTGTCGTATTTCCAAGGGAATCCTGTTTCCATATTCTATCCGGATTAGCGTACATGTACATGCATGACAAGGGTATAAAAGTCAATATGCTCACTTTGCATCTGTTCAATCTGGAACTCGAGCAGCGATTCCACATCGTCGGTGCTCACAGGGATGGTGCTACTCTCATCCCCTGTGAGCATGTCACCATATGCAACTGCTGCCAAGGCAGATACACTTGCAGGATCCCAGTCCTCTTGTTCCCCTAGCAAAAGGACATTATCGAAACTGAGACGGCCAAAGTTGGGGTTCTTCCTCCTCAAGTAGTGGGCAGTAGGCTGGCGATATCGCACAAATGCTTTCCAAAGTTCCGTACAATCATGAAATCGTAGTTTTTGATATTCCAAGCGCGATCTGCGAATGAATGCGCCGAATGGCGAGTTGCGTGACAATCTGATTCTCTTATCCACTTGTTCCGCGTCACCATCGTCATCCTTGCGGCGCTCCCCCTTGGCCCTGACCAGCATTTCTTTGATTCCTTCAAAAAACTCATTCAAGCTGTCCAGGGAATGGATTCCCCAAAGCTTCCCGAGGAACTGGTCCCAGAGCTTCCGACCAGGCAACCCCATCAAAAAGGGATAGCTGCCAAGGAGCTTCTCAAAGTCCTTTATGGTGATGACCAAGCCCACAGTGCGCTCGGCTTTCGCCCACCGTGCCTCTTGTGATGACAATGGGTCTGTAGAGTCATGATCCAAAAGGTGTGATGTGATGAAGGAAAGAACTGGGAGTACAGCATCACTTGGGACAGCTTCTTCTGTGTACAGCTCCACAAGTGCCAGAAGGCCGATTTTCGCGGGCGTAAGATAGCGAGCCATCGTGCGTATGGGCTCACACAACTTCTTGGTGGTTCAAAACCTAGTCCATGGAACTCCTGGAGAGTCCCTTGGCTTGAGGTACCCCGACACGGTTTGAGGCTAGAAGTGGTCGACGCGCGACCGAAGAAAGTTTGCTTGCCAGATCATATCTGACAAGTCAATATAAACAAGAATTAGACCAGTTCGGTAGAAGTTGAAAAAGCAGTTATTATCACAAGGCTCAAGTATGGAAGTGATGTCTTGCTTCCTCGCCTCAACCATTTCCTATGTAGATGGTAGGCGCGTCCTGAGCGGTTGCCACTTGCGTCGGGTATTCTTCGGCACCATAGTTACGAGCAGGACTGATGCGGTCATTTGGCCTACGAGTCAAAATAATCCGTCGCCGGAGAGAAGCTCCGTCTACACCAATTGAAGAATGTGCAGCGCTTCGTCCATGGCATGTAGCTTATCTTGGAGAGTGTTTTGCTGACGAGCATTTTGCGAGACACGAAGTTGAGCTATTGCCCATGTCTCAATCACCTTTATCCAACCGCCAACTCTGAGCTGCACTTCTCTCTAAGCATAGGAAACTACCTCAAAATTGCAACTTGTTCAGTCGAGTCATGTATACTGGGCAAAAACTTCACAGAGTGGAAGGCTCCAATAAGAAAGCAGGTTTTAGGAAAACAGCGTAGTCAATTCGACACTAGGGAACATGTACAAGGAGTCTCCTGAAGGGTTATTCTATCAATATTTCCGGCTCCGTGGCCCTGATACCGAGTCTTACTTTACGCAACCTTGTTCTTGTTGTGGTAGTTGACGGATTCGTTCCAGCTGATTTCAACAGTTAGTTTCACAGATCGTATATCAAACCGTGTAGGCATGTGCTTGTATCGCTTGTACCACGCAGCCGGTATACACTTACAACAGGGTCTATTATAAATAGTCAGCACACCCACACGCTCAGCATTCATACAGATACGATTCGCGGATTATCTTACCTTGTCACCATCTCCCCACTGGTAGTTCTTGGTGCGGATGTTCTGGTAGGGGTACTCAGTGCGCTCCTCCAGAGGAGGCATGTGGCTCCAGTGCTCCCAATGCTCCTTCCAGAGATACCAGGCGTTGGCACCAGCCAGGGCGAGGCAAGGAATAACACCGCTTTATGCCCAAGTTAGTCTGCAATTCCTCCCACTCATAGGCTTCGGCAGTATCGGCGGCTAATGCTCCGGCACCAGGAGGCGAAAAGGTCGTGGGCTGTCATGACGGGCATCAGGATACGTACTAGATGGAAATCTTCTTCCACAGCTCTGCGCCATGTTAGAATTCATGCGTCACAAGGGCCAATGGCAATTGTTGAGTACAATGGCACTCACCAGTGGTTTCCTTGGCGTGCTCCTTGATGTGCTGGCGTTCCTTGATGAACTCGTTCTCGGCAGAGGTGCTGGCAAGACGGCGCTGAGCAGGAGCGCGCAGCTGCGTGGCGAACCGCGAGGCGTTGCGGGTGACTAGTCGCGAAGCAAGCATGGTGATGGCGATTGTCGTTGATTGATTGCGGAATGCAGGTTGTAAGATCAGGTCATCCGGGATCAATTCAAGCTCGGCTAGCAGAGTTTGGCGGCCTCGATCATAAGGCAGAAAGAAAGCTGCTTAGCAGCACGTGATGTCGTGCGCTTCCCGCGACCCGCCCTCAAGGTGAACCGCGCGACATGGCAGGAGGTCCGCTGAGATCTTGATGCAATGAACGCCATTGCCATGACCTTCACCAACACACACAAGAGACTCAACACCCTGCCTATCATCAGGCCTTATACATGTACTGCTCTTTGAGAAGCTTTATAGGATAGTAGCCAAGTCTAGTCTTGCTGATTGATGAAGTTGTGTTGCCTCCTGATCGTGCAGCTTGGGCAAGCAGGATGTAAATAGCCTGTCCCATTTGCCCCGCCGTGCCGAAGCAGCGAAACACCCGCGGGTCCTCTTACGAGATCGAAGGTGCGGCATCATGGGGTTTCGTATTACTACGTGGAATGGTAAGATTGCCGGGATTGCCCCAGTGGCCATGTTGCTAACAAAACCGTGCAGTAAATGGCATCAGGTATTTTTTCTCGGACAAGTACTCATCTTCTGGTGTGCAGCCTGCTCACGCATGAAGCAGAAATCCCTTTGGATATCAACCATGGAGAGAGCAGCGCACCTTTCAGGTAAAGATGTCGTTACAGTCACACGCAGAGTCTAGCTTGCTAATGCTACACACACTAGGCCATGTTCGATATCTTGGAATCGGACATTGTAGTCATGCAAGAGACAAAGATTCAGCGGAAAGACTTGCAAGATGACATGGTTCTAGTGCCAGGCTGGGATGTCTTCTTCAGCTTGCCAAAGCACAAGAAAGGTCGGTCCATTCGGATGCCCCTGTAGTTGGCATTGACGGTTTGCTCATTGTCACAGGATATTCTGGCGTCGCCATTTATACTCGCAATGCATCATGTGCGCCCATTCGTGCCGAAGAGGGAATTACCGGTGTACTTTGTCCTCCCAAGTCTACAACCAAGTTTCGGGACCTACCTTCAGACCAACAGATTGGCGGTTACCCTCGTCCCGGTCAGCTCTCGGGCATTGTAGAAGACACGGTACTTGACTCCGAAGGCCGCTGTGTCATACTGGAGTTTCCAGCGTTCGTGCTACTTGGCGTTTACTGTCCAGCTAATCGAGACGAAAGTCGAGTCGAGTTTCGCACCAGCTTTTTCGAGGCCTTGGCTGCTAGAATACGGAATCTGGTAGCTGAAGGGAAAGAGGTTATTCTCGCGGGCGATCTAAACGTCATTCGTTCAGAAATGGATTCAACGAACGTGATGGAGAACTTGCGCAAGGAAAACATGACGATTGATGAATGGATTTCACTCCCAACGCGACGAATCTTCAACCAACTCATATTCGAAGGCAGTATTGTCGGCGATCGCGACGAGGGCCGAGAGACGCCAGTTTTATGGGACCTATGTCGTTGCTTTCACCCAAGTCGACTAGGAATGAACACGTGCTGGGACACCAAAAAAAACACTCGGCCAGCCAATAATGGCAGTCGTATAGACTACATATTATGTAGCAACGGCATTAAGGATTGGTTTACTTCGGCCAATATTCAAGAAGGCCTGATGGGCTCCGATCACTGCCCTGTTTTTGCCACAATCGCTGGCACCGTTGCCAGCAACGGGCGCCAGGTTAGCATTAACGATGTTATGAATCCCGCAGGGATGTTTGAGAATGGCACAAGGGTGCGGGACCTGGCACAGAAGGATATCTTACCACTATCTGCAAAACTTATTCCCGAATTCGACCGCCGCCAGAGCATCAGAGATATGTTCTTCAAAAAGGTCACCAGTGCTGAAAGAAGGACAACGCCGCACAATTCGGAGTCTTCCAGCTTCAAAGCGGAAGACACGAGTCAAGCTAGCGACAATGATGCTTCGAGCCAAATAGACAATGCTCTTCAAACGGTGAATACCAACACACCAACCAATAAACCGGCGGCCCTGCCATATTCACAGCCACGCAAGAGGTCTCCTGACCCAATCGACCCCGTGCCAAGGCAACTAAAGAGAAGTAAATCTGCAGCGGATCCCATTGGGTCTAAGCAAAAGATCTCAGCGGGACAAACTACACTAAAGGGATTCTTCAAACCCGTTAGCTCGGTGCTCCCTTCTCCAGCTGTGTTGGCAGATCCAGAAGCACAAAGCAATGCCACGGATCTCCCCGCTACGAAAACCTCGCCTTCTACCAAAGGAAGCTCCGAAAACCTCACATCGAATGAATTCATGCCGCCATTTTCCGAGCAGCCTGCTCATGACAGTTTAGTTGACACATCCCCAAAATCACCTGACAGAGTGTTCGACCCTATTCAAGCCAAGGAGTCCTGGTCCAAGCTACTGGGCAAACGAGTTGTTCCTCGTTGTGAGCACGACGAACCATGCATTAGCCTGGTCACCAAAAAACCTGGCGTGAATCGAGGTAGGTCATGTTGCCGCCGTATTGGCACTGTTTGTCGTCCCTGTTTGGCGTTTTCCATACCTCTACGATCCTCTGACAAGTGGAGCTATGCTAACTCGTATACAGGACGGTCATTTTACATTTGTCCTCGCCCTCTTGGGCCCTCTGGGGAGAAGGAGAGGGGATCCGAGTGGCGATGTGGCACTTTCATCTGGAGCAGCGACTGGAACGGGACGTCGTCGACGCAGTCATAGCGGCCATGTGGTACCGTCAGTGGTGGCTATTCATAGCACCTACAATCACCTGGAGCGTTGCTCTATTTATTCTGTTGGATGCATCATTCCGTTACAGAAATGTTACCGTAGTCTTTCTCATGATGAAATAAACTTACGTATCTACGTGTTCCCTCGCCTGAAGACATGGTCTTCGTCTCGGTGTAATATACACTCCGCAACTAATTTTTGCCATAACTTTCTGTTCAAATCTCGCCCTTGAATTACACATCCTTCATGTTGCAGCATCCAACACTCGTCTAGATCTTGCATTGCCTAGATTACCTCTTCTACCGCTCAGAATTTTGACTCCAGGTTTAGCCGGGCGCCATAAATCCGTTCAGCATATCATGAGATTTTTGGGCGCGAAAGTCAACTTTGCCGCAAGCCCATGCAGTGCTCTCTGCCCTCGGGTAAAACGGCATACGCTCCTCATAATTGTGTTGTGTAGCGATGCCGAATCACGCCCATCGGTTGATGCATTCTGCGGAAGCATTTGATCATAGTTCGGCTCGTAGCATGGGAGGGAGCTTTTCGCCTACCCGGTTTAATGTAGTGGTTAGTGCTCTTTGCTCATTTCTTTTCCAACATGCTCTCCTCATCTACCAACGTTACTTTTAGGTCTTGTGAGAGCCTTTGATCTGAAGACGATGCTGAAATTGCGTATTAGGTATCTCTTCATACATTGAACCATCTCACTCAGCATAGCCTACACTGCTAGTAATCAGAATGCTCTTGTAACATGGTCATGTGTCCCTTTTTTTACTGATCCTGCTTGCACCGACTTTTGCGACTTTAGTAGTCACAGAATACCAAGTCCGAGGACTTTCGATTCATGTATTGCTTGTGGGTGAAAGTAAAACTTCAGATTAGATGTAATTGTATGTTTGCGTATGAGGGGAAACTCTCGGATATGGGCAACTGCATGAGCACTGAAAGAGTGCCTGTGAAACCAGCGGCTATTTGGCCATACATGCTCAAGAAGTCCCATAGTGATGTCGTTTCGGTACGCAAACCCGATTTCGGAGCGAGATTGCAGTAGCTGAATTGTTCACAGTGGTGCGGGCATGGGAGTATGAAGCTGCGCGTTCGGCAAGCAAAAGGGCATCTCGAGCCTGCAGAGACGCTGGCTTTTAAATTTTTGCAGTTCCCTAGATACAAAAAGATAAACCTATGCTATTCCATGAACTCCAGCTGCTGCCCTGAGTTTTGAACGACCTCCAGGGTCCACAATAGAGACCTGGGGCAGTCCCGCAAACTCGTGAGAGTTTAACTCTCTCACTAGTTGAATCGACGTCGTATAAAAGCAAATAAGAGATCCATCATGAGATTTGCTCGGGGTATCATATTACTTGTATCATCATAAAGAGAAAGAAAAATACATCGCCTCGTAATTTTTCTGGCTGAACATGAGGGCTATCCGGCTTTGAGAAACGCAGAATCGAGCCTTTGGCTGTTTCATTTTGTTAGTTCTGGAGCTATTGTAATCCGCGAATCCACGTACATATGCGTAAACACTGGGTATGGCAGTGCAAGTTTTGGGTTCTTGTCCAGTCGGATCCATGAGCTCTTTCAGACAGCGTCATGAGAATTAGTTGGAGTGAGAGAAATCATGCACTCAGGAGAGGAGATTGCAAAGTCTCCAGTAGCCGAGTTCATTGAGATTTGTTGTTGTGCATTTCTCCGGGTGCGACGTTTCTTCTCAGATGGCTTTCGAGGCTTATATTGGTAATCTGGATGCTTTTCCAGTAATGCCTGCTTCACCCTATCGGCCATGTCTTTGTATTTTTGGCGTACTTCTCGTGACTCAAGATTCCATGCTCGGCCAAGGATTTGGGCTTCAAGATATTAGTAATTTAGTGTGAATCTACATTGAGAAAACTTACAAATTTCGTTGTTTGTGATGCCTGGGTTTGCTTCCTTCACGGTATTATGGCGTTCTTTTCGGTAAAGAATGTACGCATTTGGAGGACGCGGAATCTTTGTGACCTTCGTCGATACAGGAGGCGGGCATATTGTTGCAGTTTTCAACTTTGTTTCGTTGCGAATGACCCAAAATGGATCCGAGCCGCTGGGTTGAATAAGAATTCCACCACCAGTTACAAAATGTCGTGGAGCTCCCAAGTAGACACGATCAGGGCCGGTTCCGTCAATACAATACAACACTGGCTCTTTGACGTGATGTCTAAATTTATGTACGTTAGCAATGATCTAGCCACATTTTTGGTATAGTTCTTACATGAAGTTTTGAACAATGAAATTCTTTGCCCC